ACGCCAGTCAGGATGGCTGCTATCCAAAAGTCTACAAGCAATAAATGCTGGAGAGGGTGTGGAGAAAAGGGAACCCTCTTACATTGTTGGTGGGAATGCAAACTAGTACAGCCACTATGGAGAACGGTGTGGAGATTCCTTAAAAAACTGGAAATAGAGCCGCCATATGACCCAGCAATCCCACTCCTAGGCATACACACCGAGGAAACTAGATCTGAAAGAGACACGTGCACCCCAATGTTCATCGCAGCACTGTTTATATTTGCCAGGACATGGAAGCAACCTAGATGCCCATCAGCAGACGAATGGATAAGAAAGCTATGGTACATATACACAATGGAATATTACAAAGTACATTTTCAATAGAAAAACCCAGTAGCAACGGAGTGTTTTAAAAACAGGAGTGTGTAATTTGTGGTTTTAAGTTGCTTGCTAATTAATGAGGGTACTAGTATGAATATGCCTGCCATCAGTGAAATGAAACAAACAAAACGGACAAAGCACAGAAGGCAGCAGTTTTCTGGCCCTGGACAAAAGGCAGCACAAGGCCAGGATGCCAGAAGAAGGGGAATTCACAAGGTGAGCCCCGAAACTGCCCCAGCTCTCTGTCTGGGGTGGATTCCCCCACTGCAGAGCAGAGAGCCGGCATGTACACACAACATGATCATTCTAATGAGCTGAGAAGGTAGAAATCAGAGCTCAGAACAGCTGGAATGGTGGGGACTGTGAGGAAAGGCACAGAGAGGAGTGAACGGCACAGATGGGGGTCTCCAGAAGCTGTGGAGGGAGGCTTATAAAGTCTAGGCTATACTCAGAGACAGAGTAGCTACAAGAGAGTGGAGAACAAAACAGATACTGAAAGTTAAGCAGTGCTAGAGCACAGTTCAGACATAGGGGAGAAGTCTTGTTCACACCCAGGTCTCCAGCTGAGACATGAAGATGATGACAGTGTAAGAGTCAGGACCACACCCCAGAGTCCGGCATACTCTTGATAATCACTGGCCATTAGAACTTCTGCAATGATGTTAATGTTACTTGACTGGTCCAAAATGATAACCATGAGCTGTAGGCAGTTATCAAGCACTCAAAATATGACTAGTACAACTAAGGAAATGAGTTTGTAATTTATTTCATTTCACTTAATATAAATTTAAACAACTACATGTGGCTGTCATATTTTACAGAACAGCTTTGGTCCCACCAAAATAAAAAGCCCTAAATCCAAGCCCTCACAATATCCACAATAGACCAAGATTTGGAGGTTGGCCCCATCAAGTTAGAGTAGCTTGAGAAAGATGGGCTTTCCACAGATTCTCCATATCAAAACCTACAGTCAAGGTGATGAGCCAGTCTAAATAGATTTATTTTGATAAGCTAAAGAGGCATATTGTTAGCGTTAGAGCAACCACTAAGAAGCAATAAGAAGTATTGATGAGAAGCCAAATAGAGGAAATAAAATGGAATTCTAAAAATATGTATAACTAGGAAAGGATCATTAGAGAAACAATCCTCAAAAAACAAACAAATGAAAACGAATAGCAAAATGATAATCTTAAACCTAAACATATTTATAGTCTTACTAAATGTAAAACTCCCCAATTAAAAAAAAACAGAATGACAATTAGATTTAAAAAAAATTAGATTAAAAGGCAAGATTCAAGAATATTCTCTCTATAAGTGATGCACTTTAAATTTTAAAACACAAATATGTTGAAAGTATATAGATGAAAAAGACATTTTATGAGTTATGGACTGAACTGTATCCTCCTCCTCCCTGGTAGCTCAGATGGTAAAGAATATGCCTGCAATGAAGGAGACCTAAGTTCTATCCCTGGGTCAGGAAGGCCCTTGGAGAAGGAAATGGCTACCCACTCTAATATTCTTGCCTGCAGAATTCCATGAACAAAAGAACCTGTCCATGGGGTCACAAAGAGTCGGACACGACTGAGTGACTAACACACATACACACACCCCACAAATATACATGTTTAAGCCCTAATGCTCAATGTGACTATCTTTGGAGATAGCAACTTTAGGGGGGCAGGGGTTGTTATTAAGGCTAAACAAGGTCCTAATCCAATAGGACTGGTATCTCTGTTTTTACCTTTTTTATCCTTTTCTTATGTGGAAAGGAACTATTAATACTTAATCAAGGGGCGGTACGGACACAGAGCGGGCCATGCAGGACACGGGCTTCCAGGTTGCAGAAAGGTTGCAAAAAAGGATATGTGCGCTCTGCCCCAAAGACCTCAAGTGTAGTGTCCTGTACTTTGCACAGTCAGATAATATAGCTGCTCATGAAAACTGTTTGCTGTATTCCTTGGCACTTGTGGAATGTGAGGACCATGACCCACATAATAATGATAGAAATTTTGACGTGGAATCAGTAAAGAAAGAAATCAAGAGAGGAAGGAAGTTGAAATACATGCTTTGTGAGAAAACAGGAGACACGGTGGGATGTGACTTAAAATCCTGTTTCAAGAATTACCACTTTTTCTGTGCCAAGAATGACCACACAGTTCTACAAGCTGATGAACTTAAAGGAGTTTATAAAGAGTTTTGCCAACAACATGCTGACCCTCAAAATGATCTACTGTTAGTAAAGCCTTTGTCTCTTGTCTTCCATTCTCACTACAGTGAGCAGACCAAACCAAGACAAGCCTACTTTTCAGGAGTGAAAACAAAAAGAGGAAAGAGAAAACCTCTCTCAACAGGCAATCACGTACAGCCACCTGAAAGAATGGCACTGAATAAGGAAATGGACGGCAGACACACAGGTGCAATTGTGAGAGCTGCTTTTATTAAGAAATGTAAAGAAGCAGGACTTCTTGGTGATTTACTTGAAGAAATATTAGACAAACTTCATTTGATTCAGGAAAGATTCATGGATGATAGTACTTCAGAATCAAACTGACAAAATCGGTACTTCACTTTTTGACTGGAGATTGTTTGAAGACACACTTGCACATTTTCAAGCAGCAATAGAGAATCAAATTCGTGAATCTAAAGAGAGGTGGCGGCAGCTGAAGAAAGAGATTGAGCTACTCCCGGACTTAAACCTGGTACTCCCAGCTTCAGTCAAGTTCCACTTCAGATTCTTCTCTGTCTTCTTAAGAAGGACCATTTCCTAAGCCAGGAATCGAGCACAGTTGCCAACAGGGTGAAATCTGGAGATTGGCCCGTGAGAACCACACACCTTCAGCACCAGGCCCCTGGGGTCTCTCTCATCCTCGCCTGCTCTTACCTGTTCTTGCTGATGGGCATCTAATGCCTGTTTCCTGCCTCCCCCTCCTTACCGTCATCTCACTTCTACCTCTCCTCCACTAGAAAAATATTTCTGAGTCTACTTGAGTATATTAAACCATGGCTCTAAATTCCATTAAATTAAATTAAACCTCCAGTAAATTAAACCTCCCATGGCTCTAAAAATCCTTTGGTGGCCTCCTCCACTCCCCCACTCCAGTGAGCTAAGTGGATTCCAGGTGCTCCCACCCGGGACCTTTGCTTGTCCTGCTGTGAGGTCTTCATCAAGATCCCCTCATACTTGTTCCACCGAGAGTCCTTTCCCCTCATATCTCTTCTCTGTGTAAGCCACTGTATCACACATCAAACCACTGGCGTATAAGCAGCCTGAGGGCAGAAACTCCCGTTCCCGGGTTTTCCTCTCTGTCATCTTTCCAGCAGCTAGCATGCTCAGTAAACGTTAAATGCATAAACTGTTTTTATCTTTTGAGACAAGTTCCAGCCCATAATGCCTCTTTAATATAATGAATTTTAATAGTATACATTATCAAAAAAAAAATACTTAATCAGGGATTATAGCACACACAACCACTCTAGTAGTTGGAAAGGTTAACTGACATAATAGAGGATTCTTTTAAAATGTAAGCAACGATTTCATTGCCTTTCAGCACAAAACCCTCAGATGGGAAGATGAACATGGAGAGATGAGAGTGGAAGAGGGAGTGCTGGGGTTTGGGGTGAATCTAGGAAAAGGTTTCATTGTTGGGAGCTCCCTGGGAGAGGCACAGAAAGCTTCTTAAGAAAGGTAAAGATAAGAAAATTTTGTGTAATAAAAATCTGGTTAAAGTAAAAAAGAAAGGAATGAAGTGAGGGAGGGAGGGAAGAAGAAAAGAAAAAGAAAGAAATGCACATCACTGGCTTCCCATCTCAGAGAAAAAGCACAAGCTCTTGAATTGGCCAACCAGGCACCACGGAATCACCAAGCCTATGCTCCTCTGGCAGCCCCGCCCCCTCTGCTCGACCCCTGTAGACGCATGGCTCCTAGTTGGTCCTTGAGTCCAGCAGGCACACCCCCGCATCATCAGGGCCTTTGCACTTGCTCTTCTCCCTGCTGCCAAGCCACCACCAACCCCCAGGCAGATGCTGGCTCCCTCACCTCCTTCACATCTGTGTGAAAAATCACCCTCTCATCAGGCCTTACCTGACCCCCTTCTCTATTTAAAATCCCACATGCAGACCCTATGCCCTTCAGTTCTTTATTTTTCTCTACAGCACTCACCATCCAACATAATACAAACATTACTTACATATTTTATTTATTTCCTGACTGCTCTGCAAGGATATAAATGTAAGAACATCAGATTTTGTCCATTATGTTCACTGCTATATCCTGGTGACTGATAATGTGCATAGAACATAGTAGGTGCTCAATATATACAGTTCTCCCTCAGTGTCTGGGGAATTGATTCCAGGACCAAAATCTGAGGAAGCTCAAGTCCCTTATATTAATAAAGTGGAGTCATATTTGTGCATAGGCTATGAACACTGTCTAGATTACTTATAGTAATCAATAAATCATCTCTAGATTACTTATTACTTTTTATTATACTTATTACTAGTACCTAAGACAACACAATATTGGTGGTATCCACAGATGCAGAACCCACGGGTGTGGAGCGCCACTATTTGTTGGGAAGAAGGAAGGATGGAAGGGACACATGAAGCATTTTTCACAGTGCCAAGCACATAGTGAGCCTCTAGGCTTCCCTGGTAGCTCAGTTGGTAAAGAATCTGCCTGCGTGCAGGAGACCCGGCTTCAATCCCTGGGTTGGGGAAAATCCCCAGAGAAGGAAATGGCAACCCACTCCAGTATTCTTGCCTAGAAAATCCCATGGACAGAGGATTCTGATGGACTACAATCCATGAGATCACAAGAGTCAAACACAACTTAGCAAGTAAACCAGCACCAAACCTCTGGTAAAGGATAATTTTTATTACTGGATCTAGGAAATGAAGCCTAGAAAAAACAAAAGCCTTGACCAAGGGCCATGGAGTTTTTGATGAGACCAGTGCAAAGCTCCAGGTCTCCTGACTTGTAGCATATGCATATATTCGTGCGAAGTCACTTCAGTTGTGTCCGACTCTTTGTGACACTATGGACTGTAGACTGCCAGACTCCTCTGTTCATGCAATTCTCCTGGCAAGAATACTGGAGTGGATTGCCATACCCTCCAGGGGATCTTCATGACCCAGGCATCAAACCCACAGGTGGGTTCTTTACTACTAGCACCACCTGGGAAAGCCCCAACTTGTAGCATATAATTAAGGGGGAAAAAGAAAAAGAAGGAAAAAAAGCTTTGACTTCCTGTTATGCACTTGACACTTTCACATTTAATCTTTCTATTAGTTATCAGAGGTGAAGGTGTTATTTTAATTTCAGTTCTGAGAACACTGATGCTCAGAGAGGTCAACTTCCCAAGATCACACAGCAAGTAGTAGAATCTGGATTCATACCCAGGCCTGTGATTTGAAGCCCAGTCCTTTCCTAATAATTCAGGAGAGAGGTGTGGTCAAAGTGCCAACAGCTCGAAATGAAATCCATCACTCACAGCCCAAATCCAAACCTCCCCTCATTTAGCCTCAGGCAGGTTTTCCTCTCAGCCTTGACCCTTAAGAGAAGTCTGCTGACACTTTGGCGTCTGCCTTTGAAAGTCAGCTGCCCAGTTTCTCAGACTCCTAAATTGCCTGCAAGAAGTGTTTCATTATTCTGTCCAGGCGACATCAAGTACCTGGGCCGTATTTCATGAAAAGTTCCCCTTCAGGCCAGGCCACAGGGCAGGTAGCATTTCTGTCTCCAGGAAACCCCTAAAATCCACCTTCTGGATAATTCCACTGGAGACAAATTAGAAATGAAAGCAGCTGCCTGCCCTCTTTCATGTTCCTGGGGGAGACGGGTGGGTATGGGCAGCCAGGCACCAAAGAATTCTTTATTCTTCCGACACAGGGGAAATTGAGGGGAGAGAGTAAACGCAGCAGCTTCCACCCATACATCAGTCATGGGCACTGTGGGCAGGGTGCAGGAGGGGACCAAAGGACGCCACTCCCAAGGCAGGAAGCTCACAATCAAGTCGCTTGAACTAGAAACGTATTTACTATATAAATGAACAATAATGCATACATATAGTTGACTCACTTGGCCATACAGTAGAAACTAACACAACATCATAAAGCAACTATATCCAATAAAAATTAATTTAAAAAACTGAACAATGAATGAAGACAGCAACCATGCCTTGACAACAATCAAGTCTGTCACTGGGTTTTCATTGTGATGCCAAATCCTTCTCCATTCCAGCTACACGTCAAGTGTACACCGCTCTCCCCAAGGTTTATATGTTCTCATTTCTGTCCTCGAGGAGGTGCCAAAGCCAACACAGCCAGAGGCGAGGGAAGGAGGATGTGGGTGGTGCCCTGGCAGAGCTGGCAGCTGTGAAGGGGGTGGGAGATTCCCCTGCACTGAAGGCCTTCTCTCTGCCAGGTGCCCACGTTAGTTCATTAAATCCCCAGGACAATCCCAACAGGTGGGCATGGTTATTCCTATCCTAGAGTGAGGTAATGGGGGCTAGGAACAAGGAAGTGCATTTCCCAAGAGCACTGGTTCTTAAACAAGGACACTGGAACCCAAAGTCAACTCTGTGTGTCTCCACTATGCTTGCTTCACCCTTTTTGCAAGGCCTCCCAGAAAACTGGGTGGGAAGCTCTAAGTACAAAGAGGGTTCATCACTTCTAGCTGAGGCATCATAGGAGTGCTTCCTGGAGGAGGAGGCATTTTTTGAATTAAGGCTGAGGCCATTTGGGGTCTGGCCATATGTCCCCTACACACACACACACACACACACACACACTTCTGCATAGACCCAGGGTGGCCTTCAGCCACTGACCAGGCAGGAAGAATGTGTGTACACACTCGAAAGAGAGCTGTTGATTTAGCGCTGGCAACACTCCAGCCATGGAAGTGGGGGGTCCCAGCATGCTTATTATTTCTTTTTCCACCAGCAGAAAACATCTGTCCTGTGAAAATTATATTTGCTAAGAGACCACAGCATACCTGTCGGGAGACCCGCAACCCTCCCCCAAGCCTCCCTGTCAGCAGAGGCTACAGCTTGTGCTCTGATGGAATTGACCATGGACCCTAGAGGCTCTTGAGCTGAGTGAAAGGAAAGAAGGTGTCCTTGGACAGGGGCATCCCCGAGGACCACTGACATGGAACTCGGGACTCTCATGAAGGAACATTGGCTCCACCTGAACTGCCTCTTGGAGAAGGAAATGGCTACCCACTCCAGTATTCTTGCCTGGAAAATCCCATGAACAGAGGAGTCTAGCAGGCTACAGTCCATGGAGTCGAAAAGAGTCAGACATGACTTAGCGACTAAAAACAACAGCAGCACAACTGCCTCTGGATCTCACTCGATTGACACATTAAGTCACCTAAATAGAATTCCTCTAGCAGAGTAAAAGGAAACACAATAGAAAGAAGAGTAAAGAGGACCAAATTTTCAAAGACCCTAGGATGGCCCAGCATTGTACAAACTTCTCTCTCTCTTCCCCTCTTCCCCTATAGAGACCATGACACTCTTCATGTCTTTCTACTATTTGCAGGACTTGGGGGGGTGGCGGGAAGAGGTGGGGGGGAGGGTGGCGAGTAGTCTACAGGAGGCCAGAGAGACAGCATGTTATCCTGGAAATGGCTTAGGTTTTGGAATGATGAAGCGAAGGCCACCCAAGGAAGCCAGGAAAACTGACATGAGATGTAGGTGTGGGGTTGCAAGCTCCCTTAAACCTTACCCCCAAACACTTCCTCCAGCAAGTAGTCCCAGTTGACTATAAC